TGTGGGGGTGTACGTGTGTATTTGTGAGCTAATGATGGTCTCTGGTGCTGGAGGACGGCCAGGGAGGACCACACTGCTGGGGCTGACTAACAGCGTCCCGCCTGATCCAGCAGGGTGCCCCTTTCTCACTGGCTGTGGAGAGCCCCCGTAATGCACTGGCTGCTTCAGCACAGTCACTGCATAACCACGCCATAAGACCAAAGAAGGTTTAACCCGGCTCCCTACAAAAGCAGCCCCAACGTGGCCTAAAATGACTTTATAAGGTTCATACAGCATCTTCAGTGTTTCTTCTGCCAATCAGATTTAACCATTTGACGAACATCTGGAGAGGAGAACATAACATCTGTCTTTGATGATGGCCTGCAAATCTGTTCATAATCACGCAGAGTATTTTTGGAAATCATTTTGTTTCCTCGGAAAGACATCCCTGTCATCTGCAATTTGTTGAGAGGCTCGGTTCATGTGTTGGGGGGGGGGGGGGGGTCGTAGTTAGCAACATGCTCAGCCAACCGAGGCCTTCAAAGCGAGAGGGTCACTTACCTCTTTGTGTCTTGCCATCATGCTTCCAGGATTTAAAACAGGAGAGTCCCATGGTCTTTTAGCCCCCCAGCAGCGTCCCGTTGGAAAAAGTTCCTCCCGCTGCCCTTCTCCGCTCATCGCGAGCTGACGTGATGGATTTTGGGTGGTCTTCCACCACAGGGATTCTTCCCACAGACACACAGGGATGCTGCGTGACACTGTGCCATGGCTCAGACTGCCCGCTGGGTCCCTCCCCAATAACCCCTCCCTGCCGCCCCACCCAGTGGCGTAATCCGCTCCCCGGCCAGCCTTGCTTTAGCGTTGCAGGTCGTGGAGAGTGGGCTTGGCGGATAGGCCTGGGAATCTACAGCCGACATTTATGTCGACATGCACGCAGGTCACCTCAGCCTCGGCCAATGGGATGGCGCCGTGCGGCTTTGGCGGGCGGAGGCAATCTCCCTAATGCACCTCGCCTGCTGGCCACTCTATGTAAACCACGGTGACCGCGGCTGCCCTTCCTCGCTCACCGCCACAGAGCTAATAAAGAGGGCCCGCGTGCATTTAAACCGCCGTCCATTACGCTGAAAGCCAGGGGGAGGATTTATGGCACAGCGTTGGTGGGCTGGGGTGGGGGGGGGGTGCACTTCATGTGTGTGGTTCAGCAGGACTGGGTAGAGCG